GCCCCACCCATGTCACTTGAGTGTGGGAAGTTCATCCTGAAGTCTACCCAGTCACAGTTGGTTTTCAGTAACTCTTGTCTGATTTGCTCGTGTCCTAATTCTGAGATAGCTTGGTTCAGCTCGTTCATCGCGCCAACGAAATTTGAGCCTTGGTCGGATCGCAACTGTCGTACTGGTCCACGGCGTGCTATGAAACGACGATAGGCGTTCAGGAACGAATCTGTGGACAAGCTATCCGCGACTTCCAGATGAATGGCTCTGGACGCTAGGCACGTGAATAGAACTCCATAACGCTTGAGTTCGCGACGGCCATCCTTGATATACCAGGGACCAAAATAGTCCACTGCACAGAAGGTGAAGGGCGGTGCAGGCTCTAGGCGATCTTCTGGTAGGTCCGCCATCTTTTGCTCTTGAGGCATGCTTCTCAATCGGCGGCATGTGACACATTTTGATATGTGGCTCGATACAGCAGAACTTCCGCCGATAATCCAGTATCCTGCTGAGCGAACTTCACCTTGAGTGATCCCTCTGCCTTGGTGCTGGATGGCCTGATGATGATGGCAGAGGATCATGTCAGTGACATGTCCTTTTCTGGGGAGTATGACTGGATGCCTCACCTCGTAGGGGAAGCTAGAGTGCTTGATCCGCCCACCAACTCTTAATACACCGTCTTCGTCTAGGAACGGGTCAAGCTTGTACAGGGAGCTTGACCCTTTCATCACGCGGTTTCCGTCCTTGGCAGTGCTTCGGTTAATGACTTGTGGTTGGACATTGAGACTCTTCAGCAACTGTATTTCTTCTCGAAACACTTCATTCTGGACCATCTTGATAATTTGCAACTCAGAATATTTCAGCTCTTGAACATTTACAGGGACATAGGTGGCCGCTCTTCCTATTCTTTCTGCTGTGTCTGGACCTGTATCTTGGGAAGAACAGATACTGGTCTTGCGGAATCTTCTCTGCAGACGGAGACAAATGGCGATTGCTCTCTTTGCTCGATGCCAATTGGAGAAATATTTCAGGCGCTCCAATAGGGAGGATGGTTCTTCAACCTGAGTTGCTCGCACAGTGATCTTCTTGGTTTCCGGGTCGTCAGGAGGAATCGAAGGGATGTTGTCAACAGGATCCCAATCTTCAGGAGAATTCCAAAGGAATTCTGGCCCATTCCACCACAGGGAGCTGTCAATTAGTTCTTGGGCACCAGGGCCGCAAGAAGCAATGTCAGCGGGATTGGATTTCGTTCCAACGTAGCGCCACTGGTCCGGCGATGTCTTCTCTCGTATCTCCTGGACGCGGTTGCCGACAAAGACATGGAATCGCCTGGCATCATTGTTCATGTAGCCTAAGACCGTCTTGCTGTCAGTCCAGAACGTTTCCTTCACTTCCTCGTACTCCAGCTCTTTCCGCAGCGTGTAGCTTATCTTGGAAGAAACGAGTGCAGCGGTCAGCTCCAGTCTAGGTATGGTGACAGGCTTCAACGGCGTCACGCGCGACTTTCCCATCACAAGAGAACAGTGTATTCGGTTCTTAGCATCGACTAATCATAGGTAGGTACACTGCCCATAGCCATTTTGACAAGCGTCTGAGAAGTGGTGCAACTCTGTGTGCTTGATCTCATCGAATTCTTCAGGTTTATGACATCTTGCTATCTTGAGCTCCACTAGGGCGGGAAGTTCAGATCTCCATTTCTCCCATCTAGGTCTCACATCTTCGGGTACTTCATCGTCCCAGCCAACTCCATCACGGCACAGCTCTTGCAAGATTCTCTTTCCTACCAGGATGAATGGGGCGACGAGGCCAAGAGGATCAAAAACCGAGCTAACTGTGGATAGAATGCCTCTTCTCGATAGCGGTTTGTCCTTCAACTCGATTCTAAACTGGAGCGTGTCTGATTCGATGCACCAGTGGACTCCCAGAGCGCGTTCGATGACTGGATCGTTACTGACAAGGCGAGGATCCTTTGTGTCCTTCGCTTGATCTTCTGAGGGAACAGAATTTATCACCTCCTTGCTATTCGATGTAAACTTGTGAAGACGGAAACCACCTTTCTGGCACAGTGACTTGGTATTTCTGATCAGGTTCTTTGCTTGTTCAACGGTTGGCACCGACTTGAGTCCGTCATCCACGTAGAAATCCTTTCTCACGAAATCTGCTGCCTCGGTGCCGCAATCTTCTTCGTACTGGTCAGCAGTGGTCTTGAGAGCGAAGTTTGCACAGCCGGGCGAGGAAGTAGCGCCAAAAAGGTGGACAGTCATACGGTACTCTACTGGATCTCCCTTGAATTCTTCGTTATCCCACCACAACAATCTCAGGTTATCACGATGGTTCTCGTCGACTTTGACTTGATGAAACATCGCCTGGATGTCGCACATAAAGGCTACTCGCTCTTGACGAAATCGGCATAGTACTCCTGTGAGATTGTTCGTGAGATCTGGACCTTGCAATAGCTGCTGGTTTAGGGACTGTCCGTCACATACTGCGCTGCAGTCGAACACAACTCTGATCTTCCCAGGCTTCTTCTTGTGATACACTCCGTGGTGTGGAATGTACCATACTCGCTTGTTGTCTGAGGATGGTTCGTCTGTGGGAACTCGTTCTGCATATCCGCTAGTTATGATGTCTTGCATGAAGCCACTGTAATCTCTTCGGAATTGGTCATCGTTAGTCAATCTCCGTTTCAACTTTAGTAGGCGGCTCAGGGCCGATTCCTTACTGTTTGGCAGTTCCACGTCTTCTTTCTTCAGAGGCAGAGGCATCTCGTAGTGGCCATCATCTCGCTGATGAACACCGTCTCGTACTATTTTGAGGAACTTCCGATCTTCAAAGGATAGCGACTTCTCTTCGGTTCGTCTTTCATTGAAGTCAAGTGTGAACATCTTAGCAACATCGTGCGGGTTGAGCAGCTCTTTCACTTCTGTCCTTAACGCAAAGTGACACATCTTCCTACTTGAGTCTACTTGGACTTCTCGGGTGATAATGCGATTGCAGAAAATGTCACTCTCGGTTTCAGCCTCATCTTCATGTGTTAGAGGGTTTACTGCACCAATGATTCCCCATCCAAGAGCGGTTCGCTTAGTGTACGGGTCATCTTCTACTCCGGGAACAACTTCAAGCGGTTTTATCGCACGAGGGCAGTTGAGACCGATAAGGAGGCCGACCTCAACGTCACTACGGAAGGGCATCAGCTTCTCAGATACCATTTGGAGATGTGGCCAACCATGGGCGGATTCGGGCCTTGGAATCTGACTCCTTTTAGCCGGTATGGTGGATCTTGAGTAGGTCTTGGGTAAAGGGATTTCACCCTCTTCATTGTAACCACGCACAACCAGGCCTTCGATCTTCTGACTTGTAACCACTTCCTCTCCTAGGACCGTCGAAATCTTTAGGTCTACCTCTGGTCCGTTCAAATCCAGCTTTCGCAGAACGCCTTCGTTAACAAAACAAGCGTCAGATTGTTCATCCAGGAGAGCGTAGATCAGCAATTTGTTCTGAGCATCCTTACTGTGATGAACCCATACGGGTACTATTAACGAGTGCATGCAAGGCGCAGTTGTTTTCTTCGTGTCGCAGACCTTCGCATGGTTCGAGATGACTTCGGTTACATTCATTACTTCGGTTGCATTCGTTACCGCTTTGTCTTGCTCGGGTATCTTGGCAGGATCACTGTGAAGGGAGGTTGGATGAAATCCATTGCAGGTTTTGCATACTCGCCTTCTTCGACAGTCCTTTCTCATGTGACCCCATTTTAAGCAGCCCAGGCACAGTGCCTTCGATCTGATGACATCTCTTCTTTCTGCCAGGGACATACTTAGAAAACTTTTACATGCGTCCAAGTCGTGAGGACCCTTGCACAGCGGACACGTGACAGCTTCAGGTTTATTCTCCCTCTTACTGTCGGAAGCGCTGGTCTTCACTTCACCAGAACCAGTAGCGAAAGTGCTAACCTTGGCCGATTTCTTTCTGTAACTATTCGGCTTCCATGCTCTCTCTGCGTCTTGTCTTGGGGCTTCTTCCTTATGAGGCCTTGTCGTTACCGGATTGCACGCAATTCTTGCTTCTCTTTCGAGGAACCTGCAGAAGGCTTTGAAAGGGGGGTAGGCTGTTCCATCCCCATCGGGTACGCTTTCTTCGCCGCGATTCTGCTCTTCTCCTTCTTTGTTGAGCCAGCGATCAACTTCGCGACTCCATCGATCTATCAAGTAGCGCGGAAGCTTTTGGAGCATCTTCTGGTTTTCATCCGGGTCGTCAAGCACCTTTAGGTATTTGATGGTCTTTGTCGCCGTTTGGCAGTGGACGAGGAAGTCCAAAAATCTGCGTAGGCTTGTTCCGTCATTTGGAGGGATTTTCGGCCATTCGTTAATCTTCTTTCTGTAGGCGTCTGCCACCAGAAATGGGTTGCCGAATCTCTCTGCTAAGATCTTCTTTGCTCGTCGGTATGCGTCGGCTGTTTCCAGTAACAGGAGGCCGCTGATCGCCTCTCGTGGTTCGCCTCTTGTATACTTCCCGAGGTAGTACAGTCTTTGGGAAACCTTGTCTGTCTGGCCTTCTATGATGGTTTCGAAAGACTTCAACCACAGGGGATACTGCAGTAAATCGCCGCCGAATATCTCTGGTTCTGGGAGAGGAAGCGTGTCTTGAAGACGTCGCTGACAAAGCACATCGGCTAAATGATGCAGTGAATCTTCGACGGACGAACTGTTCAGGGGAAGACTGGCTCTTGGATTGTCTGCTGTGATTCCGGTCTTGGCTGTATCGCTTACGGGGATTTTAGCATCAACACGCGTGCGCGGAACTCTGTAGGGACTTGTCTCAAACTCGGCTACTGAAGGATTCAGCGACGATCGAAGAGCTGTAGACTTCGGAGGTGCGAACGGATTCGGTGATGAGTCGGGACGTAACACCGGTCTAGAATTCGTATCTTCGGTAGATCTCACTTTAAAAGGAGAAGTCCAGAGTTCCTCCTTTATCAAAGTCCTTCTCGTTTCAGGACTCTCGCGATTCAAAACAGATTCAATATACGTTTCAACGGTCGGAAGGCTGGCGTCTGTCACCGTTGACATTTGATCACGAGTCTTCAAATAATTTTGGAGAACGTAATTCCTGTCGGTTTCTTGTGGGAGAAACTGATCTTCCTCGCGATCGTCCTTCTCAATTTTCTTTTCATCGGCTACATTGACCGCTTCCATTTCGGCTTTGGCGACTGCCAGCTCCTTGCTTAGTCTAAATCGTTTAAGTTCGTCCTCGCACTCCTTCAAAGTAGTTGTTTTCCGTGCTTCGGCGTCCGCAAATTCCAACTGAGTTTTAAGTCTTGCAACATTTGCAGCCATATCCGCTCTTTTTGATAGCGAAGATGCGATAGATGATTTCTCGGATTTAAGGCTTCGAGAACTTCGGCTGGAATGTTTTGATCGTGAAGAGCGTTCGCTTACATCTTGTCTAAGATCCGAAAGTTTGTTATTTAATCTTCTCAGCGTGTCTGAATGCTCACGCTCCAGTGATTCTAATTGCGCCACCGCCTCCTTTTTTGCTTCGTGATTATCTGCTAGCGCTTCGCAGAGTCGATTACTTGCCGCGTATAGAATATCCATTCTCGTCTCGAGGAATGTTCTCTCGCTCTTTAGGAGATCGATGTTCGTTGAATCTCCTATCAGATTTGTAACTTTGTTTATTTGTTTGCGCCACGCGCGCTGAGCGGAAGATCTTTGTTCCTCGAGTAAATTAAGGTGATACATTCTTCCCCTTTCTGTAGGATTTCGAAATCTGATCGACAAGGAATCTTCAGAATCTTCCATTTCAGACATCGGAGTGTTCAGTGTTCAATTGCAATGCGACGTGTTTCCTCCGCTGAGTTTCTACCCCAGAGTTTTTACTGTAACGGGGGCGGATATTGACATCGGGTTTCTTTCAGATCAGTTCAAATATTCAGATCAACATCGCCGTCGGAGAAACGTTTTATAGACAGAGAATCCCGAGCATCGATTCTAACTTGTTTATTATACTTGAAATTCCCGTAAAAACTGAAAATAATAATCGAAAAGCGAGCGATTACAATAGATTCTAAGATAATTCTACTGGGAGCACGTGGCATGCATGAAAACGATTACCTAGAATAACTCTAATAATATAACAAAATCACTAAACCTAAGAAATAACAATACTACTAGGACTGAACTTAAAAACTATAAAACAAGGAAACATACCTCTTTCTCCGATAGAAACTATCTTAATGGCACACGCGTCTTTCTTACTTTCGATCCGGACAATTCTCTATGTGACACTGAAAACTGATCCGACACACGCAAAATACAAAGAAGCTTCAGATGATTAAAATAGAAACGGAAATGACGCGAGTCATGCAACGAAAAACTAATAGCTAACATTTACACATACAGGAAAACACATTTTGTTTAACAACCTTATGATTGGATACGGTGATATCTACCCAAATTATTAATTGAAAGGGTCTGTTTTGACAAAAACCATGATTGGGCATCATGAGTGAATGTCGCATATAGGCCTTGGAAAATAATGCTTTCTTTTATATCCATATTTTTCAGTGATGTTATTTTGATTTGTAAGCATTCATAATTAAGTGTGTAAAACATTTGTTTCTTACAGGATCTTAACCCAATAGAGGACTCTTGGGGCACAATGAAATGGTATGTCAGAAAGCATGTGAAACCCAAGACAAAGGAGGAGCTTATTCGGGGCATGAAACAGTTGTTGGCTTAAGTCACTCCTGAAATGCGCGCAAGGTATATGAGGTACATTGAAAGAATGGTACCACTTGTAATATGCCAGGAGAGGGGCAGCATCTGGGTTTGAGAGTACATTTGTCATTATTTTTACTGTGAGATGTTTTGTACAATAAACATTTTTGTGCATTTTTGGATACTTTTTCATTGTAGACAAATTGTTGTGCTCAGTATTATCAACTGCGTCTGTAGTGAATACATTTGTTTTTAGGTTGGAAGGGCACACTGTGTCCATCTTCTTAGCGCTAAGCACTAATTGGGGTTTTGAACCACAGGGCCCTGGTGAACAATGTCCACTTTTTGTTTGCGCTCATTGTCTCCTTCTGGCTCCTGATCCATGAGACGCGTGGCGTGATTAAAAAGCAGGGCGGTTTTCTTACCTGACCACTCTGTGACAATCACAGTATTATAGCGGAGCTCCACGCGCGCGCTTTGCACGCGCGTGGGCGGAGCCCCATTGCTAAGTAAATCTACCCATCCTTGAAAATTTGGTAATCACGTGACCGTACACCGACCGACCGCCGTCCGTCCGCACCACAGGAAAACCAATGTTTACTCTCACACTTTTAGCTAGTTTGGGAGCCCAAGAGAAAACTAATTGCACAGGCTGCACATCAATGTTGTGATCAATTGACAGCTATAAAAACAGGGCATCCGCTGACAAGTATCACCTGACCGTACCGCGGGCTCAAGTGTCGACCCATTGAGGTCGAGTATTTTTTTAAAGTTATCCGCTGACAAATTACCAGTTTCAAATGATCGCAGGTTCAAGTTTATTTTTTCCAAGGATTCATATCAAATATGTTGTGTTTATGTCACTATGGCCCCGCACTATTAGGATTTTGATTTCAAACTGACCTTGGAAGCGAAAATTCATCCAGTTTTTTTAAAAGTACAGGCGGGGAAGACCTTATCTTACCATGGTCACGCGTTGGTCATGCTCTACGTCCAATTTTTATACTCTGATTGGTCAAAATTTGACAGGTAAGTTTATGCGGAAAAATTATGCAGCATCTTGAAAGTAGTTTACTTTGACAGCTGAAGCTGACAGAGTTTTGTGTCAACTTGTGATGTTATTAACTGTCTTTTTCCTCTCGAGTTACAAAATGAAATACAGCCGCTATCAAGAGTCTTCTGTTATTCATGGCTGGTTTGTTTACTGGGTTTTGGTTGAGAAATGCATCGCTTGTCAAAATTCGGTAATTCGATTTCGGATCGCATCGTTTTTGTTTTTCACCTTGCTTAATGCGTAAGAGGGTTTAAAAGTCTCAAGCAACTGTGGCCTCCCTTGATAGCTTTCAGGAACTGAATCTCGAATGGTAAGCCTAAGTAATTATTGTATTTGCATGATGTTTGTGTTTCATGAAGTCTTGCACAGTTCACGCTGACAGTTTATGCGGCAAGTTCATGCATGTTTGCAGGATTTGAGTCAATGATCTGACCTAGTATCAGGTTTGATATAAGCTTACAGAACTTTAAAAAGCCTTCAGATATATTTGCTCACCACAAATAGAAAGAAAACGTTCCGAAGGATATTTAGTTATAAATTTGGCTGTAGAAAGAAAACTTTGAGCGATTTTCTTGCTTCGAGGAGTTCACGTTCAAAAACAGTAAACACCGAGCTGGGAAGCCGGCTAAAACATAAACTTAAGCTTTACGCTTAAAGACTCAGGATTATTAGAGACACTTTAATACTTGTCTTCGTGAATGAAAATTGTTGTCTCTGTAAATGTTTCACGGAATTATATCTCTTTTTTTGATTGTTAGTAGTCTCTCTTGCAATTTTAATCGCTTGTCCGTGCCGTTTGTTTTCATCGTTCATGACCATCGCTTGCAGGAGTGCTCAAAAATGTCGCGCGTATCAAACGCTTTATAAGATTACACATCGTTATAACTGAAACCATTAAATAACAAAACAAATCATAATAAATTCGCTATTATGTTGAAGCGTAACTCTGTTAAAGTTCATTCAAACACTCGACCACTCTGACAGCTCACACTATAGAAACGAGAACCAGCTGGCCGTATGGGTGATTTTGGAAATTTTCTGAAATTTTTGAACGGTTTGGCTCGTCCTGAATATTGACTGAGTGCAATTAATTTGTCTTGAAAAATTGTGAAATACCGCATTCTGTCCGAGCTCTGTATGATAAATAGTACTGTTTCACCTCAAATGTGGTGTATAAAAATTATAAAAGGTTGGTTTAAACACCCACAGATTTGTTGGCAAGAATTTGTAAAGTAAACCTGTTGAATGCAAAAAAATTTGGCGTGATTTGTTTTCCAAGAAGTTGTTTTCGAGGCCTAATCTACTGTGATCTTGAATGTGATCGAAGATGTCTGGTATTTTTTGGGTGTACATATAAGGTTATCAATTCGATGTAAGATGTTTCACTCTAAAATAACTTAGCCTTTCCCTCAAAAGTCACATGAATGTGCCCTTGAGTTAAATGATTTGTGGATGAAAAGTTTATTGTTTGATTTAAATTATAAATTTATTAAAATTGGAGCTTCGCTTTTAGCCCCCGCTAAATCTATATATTATTGTGTTCTTGGGCCATTTGGCATAGCTGGGGGAGTGACAAATTTCTTCAGCTTTTCTGTTCCAAAACTGTATACAAGCATTCGTATCCACTGACTGCATCGATTTGCTGGTTTGTGAATATCATGATTCCATTTTGGCAGCATTGTGCAAACGTTCCTGGTCAGGTTCCCCAAGGAATCGTCCCATTATCAAATACACTACATCATTATAATATATGTGGCCTAAAAATACACTTGAGTGCCTTTTTAAAAGCATTAATGTCATGAATTGATCTCATTTGGTTTTCCAGGGCATTCCACCGAATAATTGACTTGTATAAGCATGATTTCTTGACCATATCAGTCTTAGGCCTGGGTAGCTTACCTCGCTAAGTTGTCTCACCCTGACTCTCTAAACCTACTTCTTGCATGCACTTTTCCTCGTAAAACGCCTTGCTGGTAACTAAATGCTTCCGCATGATCAGAGTTAAGGTGATTTTCTTCTTTTCAGCTATTTCTTTTCGTCTGAGAAGAAAGAAAGCAGTGATGCGTCAGATAGCTTCGCCATTTTGATTAAAACGTGACGTAATTGCTTCACAGCTCTATTTGCAAGCCTTCATTTGAGTTGGATGAAAATAATACAAAGATAACCCCTGAAAGTTCAAAGCTCTTCTTCAAGAGTCCAACGTAAGTAATGAAACACTCAAGGATACTTGCATGACTACATTGACAGTAAAGGTGCGAGATGCTTATTCAAATCACTTCAGTGCCGAAAAGTAGAATAGAAAATAGCACGTATTGCCGAGTTTACCACTTAGAATTTTTTCACTTTCAACTATGTTTTTCACTTCCAAGGTTTAGATGGGTTCTTCAAAGATGTAAAGCACACAATTTTGATCCTTCAAAAGCAACTCATATTTAATAAATTATTTCGATTTACATCCACTTTGCCGTGGGTGAGAAAGGACTCAAAAATGCATATTTTTATCCTGGCACTGTGCAAAATTCCCACTTATTCTAAACAAAAGATCTATTTAGACCAATGAAATGAATGTTCAAAAACAGGGAAACAAAAATGCATTGTGATTCAGCGAACTTTTAGCACAGTAGGGCGACAAATTTTGTCCATTTTGGCCATCATTGTTTACAGTACACATGAAACAGCCTTCATGCAAGTCGAATTTAGCATCACAGACAAAATAGTTTATCACCGTATTTTGTATTTTAGAGGTTTGTTGGGAATGCTTATGCAATAACATATTGCTTAGCAAAAACAAAAGACTCCATTTCGACCGGGTAAATGATGCAGGGCTGCTTTTGTACTCATGTAGGTGGCAATTACTTCTTTTGGTGCACAAACTCAGCACTTCTCTAGTCAAAAATGTTTCTTTAGTAGAGCCAACACTACCGGTATAACGATCAATTAGGATGAATTTTAATTAATAATGTTAACGATAAACCTACTTCTTTTAAGGATATTCACCAGAACTTTACGTTGGTCACATGAAAAAAAATGTAACATTGTCCGCCAAAATCAGATTTATTCATCATCACAGTCAGTTTTCGATTTGACAGTTTAACTTGAACGTTCATGCTAATCCTCGAAAATTCAACAGCCTGGTGCAAAAAACACAGTTAAAAGCAAAGTGCAGCCTTTTAATTTCGCCCAAACCAATTTATTTTACAAATGAACAAAGAGAAGGCAATACCAAAGTAAGTTTAAAATCTAAAAAATGCAAACAGAAATGTCATGCAATGCAAGATTTCAAGGGTATCATTGTTTTGGATACTGGAACAAGTGTCCTTTATTTTTATTTTTTTTTACGACTGTAGTTACTTAATAAGACTGGTGTTCTCATCTGTGTAGTATTTTGAAAAGGTTTGAGTTTTTTCTGCTTTTCATCCCAATTTCAATTCACCCACTCGACAGGTGCTATTCTAAATAATTTTTTGGGGGACTGTGCAGGTCAAATATAAATTATATTCTAAATTAGTGTGCAACAGCCCGATTGATCACACTGTACAAACTGTATTTGGTTACAGTTTGCGTAAAAGGTAGAAGCAACAAAATCAAGGACATAAGCATGATTGATGATTTTGTTACATGAGTTACCCTAAATTATCAAAGATGGACTTAGCTTCCTTTTTGTCCACTTTATCGACGTATAAAGGAACATGTGGTACTTTGAAAGGTGTAACAGAATCTGTTTGCCTGGAAGATTGTACCAACAACATTTCAAGCCATTTGAACTTGTGCCACTTATCTCGGGAAAGGTTAACAGAGCATGAACTTAGACTAACAAGAGCAGGCATTTTCGAATTGCCAGTTTCTGATAAACTCAGCGAGATGATATTTTCAAAGCATCACCAGTCCTTAGGAAAACACTGGAAATAGAGGAGACCATGCCAGTAACCAGAGCAAAGGCACGACTTTGTTTTTTTTTCTCTCTAAAAGTCTGGGCACCCATGGTTTTTTTTTCCTTTGCATTTGGGTTGCCTGTGGTGCAGACGGATGGTCAGTCGTTCGAGCGGTGTCAGTCACGTGATTACCAAATTTTATTGGATGGATAAATTTACTTAGCTATGGGGCTCCGCATGCGCTCGCTTTGCATGTGCGTGGAGCTCTGCTGTTATGATAGATATGTTTCCAAGGAAATGGAGCAAGCAAGTGTGCTGTAACCACTATAACTAAGCAGTCGTAGAATTATGGACAGTATATCAATCCACAGCACTTTATTTGTGCTTTGGAATTAATCGAGAAGAAGTTCGTACTCATTTGTTTTTTTGTTAACTGTTAGACTAAATTTTCATTCAATACAAACTGCTAGTATTTCTCTCATTCTAGTAATTTGCAGTAACTGCAGGCAGGACCTTTCACAACGCTCCTGTGGAGCACTCCCCTTGGCTTTTTGATGAAGCTGTGAAGAATGAAATAGCATAGACACTAGAAGTTCTCCGCCCGCCAGGTATTAACTCAATCCTAAGGTTATGTTAACTGTGAACACTGAAGGAGATGGAGTGAGAGGCTACTGAGGGCCAGAGGATATTATAAAATGACCATTTTTGTTCTTATTGTTTGATTTTTTCGTATTCCATCAAGTAGCACTGCATTTTCATGAATCTCTCTCTCCAGACGAAAGAAAATGTCCTCTCTCCTGACCGTAACTGACACAAATATGCAATTAGCAAAGATAAAAAAAAGTGATGGCGAGCAAGAAAAGAGTGGCCGTGATGGTGAGGGAGAGAGAGGCCAGATTATTCCTAACTTTACCTGTGTTTGTTTGTAAGGGCTTCTGAAGTGGTTGCTACAGCCGCTTTTTCCATACTTGATGATACCCAATCAACACCTTGCATTTCAAGGCATTCCCAGTTAGACAGACACAGAAAGGACTCATGATTTTGGTGCTGGACATGACTTTCAAGACAGTGAATCTGAGAGTGAATGTCTTGCAAGACTAAACAGTAGGGTTCTTGACGTTTTCAATTCTTCATTGTCGAATCTTGCACAGGGTGCTGGTAAGTAAAGTGTTGATCCATTACAAAGTCAGAATTTTCGGAGGATTGCAGTGAAATGGAAAGCAAAACATGTACGCACAGCTAAAGAGGCTTGTCAGTTGGTGTGCCATGTAATAGCACCTCAAGTCGTTCAGCAACAGCAAAATGGTCGCATTGCTAGGGACACTGGCTTAGAGGTTCTTGTTGCTGCTTATTAAAAGGGTCTATCTAAAGCACTTAAAACACAGATCCTTTGCATTTATGCTAACAGGTTTACAGCAACGGAATTGAAAGCCATTCAATGACCTTTTGAAAATCTCAGTGGTCAACAAATAAAAAAAGCAAGCTCTTCACAAGGATCTCTTAACCCACTGACTAAGATACCACAACATCGTCTCCGACTAGACAGTGGCAAGTTCGATCATTTTATGGAATTTACATCGCGCCCATACTTCGATCAGGATGTGGCATTTGGGAGCCGAAAACCAAAACTTGAATGTGGCGAAGAAATGGTGATGCCAAACTTAGTGCATACTGTTGCAAGATGTACCATCATCAATTAGTATCTTGATTTCTGCAAAAAAAACTTTACCCCACTGAGTAGTGCCACTATGTGGCGAATTTTGGAAGTCCAAGGAGCGTCTCAAAGGAAGTCTCTAAAAAGGGCTTAATAACACGGCCACTGACGGTGCTGAAGGCTTTGAAGCACTCAACAAGATGGTAGACCCGTTGGAGGAAATAGGAGTGGATAAATGGTCTTTACAAACACGGAAAAAGTTGAAAGTGAGTAAGTTATACTTGAAAACAACCTACAGTGATCACTGTCGAGAGGAAAGCGCCTGTTCCAGAGATCACTGTAGAGTTTTTGCTTTAAGCGATCAGGGCATGACATGCCGATAATTTCGATAATCGTTGGCAATAAAAGTCAATAATAATTAATAAACAATTATCGGAAATCGATAAAAGTCGATACAAAATTTCTTGTGATTATCGATTTTGATCGATCTTTGGTGTTAGAGTTTGATTTCAATCGAAAAGTATCAAAAGATAAAAAACGATCATATGTAGAGCCATGTATGTTGCAATGTTTTATTTTGCACTGTAACTAGAGCTGAGTAGAGAGCTACAGCAAAGCGAATTTATTATTCTTAGTAGCCTCTGTTATCTTCCCAGTAAAACCTCCAATATGAAACAACTCACCCCAATGCATCACCGAAATTATTTAGAGGTCGAACACAAAAGTATTGGCAGATGTACTCCATTTGCTCCTCGTCATCATGCTGCACTCTTTCCGAACCCCTACGCTTATCAATGCAATAAAGTAATTCGTAACAAAACATACCAAATTTCTTCAGCTCTGTTTATGTGTATCAGAACGTACGCTTTCGAGTTGTAAGCTAAACAAATATACAGTGTTGCAAAGTCACTACTTAACTATCCACAAATATTACCCTAGCGCTGTCAATTTGAGGACCCAAGTCTCATCATCAGTGAAGGATCAAATGATCAGTCTGTCCTGAATAAGTTTTCATGGGCTGAGTCTAATAAATGTGAGTAATTTTCTCACAAAAAAATGTCATAAAATTCACCTGGATGATTAGCCATGAAGACACCAGTGCAATCCAAACCTGAAGTAACTGAATGATTGTGAGACAGAACCCTTCATTTTATGCAATGCTATAAATTATGATGATCACTGAAATAATTTTTTGAAGAAAGATGGCATCTAAGTGTATTGCAAAAGCTTCCAGAAAAAAAAATACGTGCAAAGGAGTTACAAAAGGCGCTCCTTTTGTTCATCATAGTAAAACAGAAAGATTGGGCCATTGATGAAAGTACATGTGGAACAACTTTCATACGGAGACTGGTACTCAGAGGATGAAATGACATGACATTTGTTGCTCTGGTCATAATATTCATCACGCAAACTCACTCTAGCATGACAAACTTTCTCTATCAGGTCAGCTTTCTTTTCAATGGTCTTATAGGTAAGGTTCATGTCGTCAAGGACTTCTTTTAGGAGACGAACCATCATATCCTCCGGTGGGCCCATTTTTCTTTTTCTTCTTCCTGTTTTTTTAAAGTTTCTTCCTTACGTATCTGTTTCTCTTCCACTTTTTCTAACTGGGCCAACATCGCCCCAAGACCTTCAGCATTTACGTCTAAACACCATTGCTGTTAACCCGTGAAAGCGATTCAGCGACTTAGAGCTGACAACTCTGGACAGCCGACTCTAGCCGAGCGAATAGCTGTAAATGAAAGGTACTATTCCCATGATTATCTTATTTAAAAACAACGCGTAAACTATCATATAACACCCGATAATAACAATAATAAAAAAAGCCCCTTGTAAAGCCACAGAGGTGCCTGATTTGTTTGCAGAAGTTTCTTGCCACTGTTTTGTATACAACATTTGTAAATTATTATTTCAAATGAGCTTCAGCTTATATTCAGTTGTTAAAATTTTCTTTTTCTATGCGATGAGGTCACGCGATGGTATGTGGAGCTGTATTTCTACATTTTTTATTTTTTTTGTTGTTTACCTATTCATTTATTACTCTATATATTATTGAGCTATTTTGTAAAAAATAGCTCATAAGTCAGTGGTCGGGTGATGTGTCTTGGTATGGTTGTATCTTTGTTTGTATGTTGCACTCAGGGTGATGGACCAGTAAGGGCGAAGATTTTATAGCCGATAAGATAACGAAGGAACCAATGAGAGCTCGGTATCTACACCAAAAGTTGATCGTTCTATGTGCTTATGTTCTACATTACAGATTGGTTCAACAACCAAAGGAGAAAAGCAAAGCAGGGCCTGTACAAGCCTGGACAATAGTGGTGGATCCGGTGTACAACAATAACCGGCAATAATTGAATAAAAGTTAATTACACCTGAGTACTTTGTCTGGATTTGTTTTTATGTATCGTAGCATTTTCCTGCCATCTCAGGGCCCTTTCAAAGATATATACATAAGGTGTATTCCGGTGCTGACCAAAACAATTTCGGAGCAGGACCAGAAAAAATTGCAAAGCGACAGAAGTGATATTGAATGCGAGTGGTGCAAACCAAGGCGCATTTCTTCAGATTTCTTGAGGTAAACATTCGGTTGTGGATTGAACAAGCTAACTTCTGCTTTTTTCAGGTTTTAATGCAACTTTATTCAGCTTTATTGCCATTATCAGCACCATACAACTTTTTCACTCACGATGCTTATACAAAGTATCTTCGTGCCCTTGACATGTTGATGTCAATAGAAATCAATAAAAGTCGATACAAATCGATAGCCAGCCCTGAGAACCTTGTGATTATCAACTTTTATCGACAAATTAAACTAATCAATCGACAATTATCAACAATTATCGAGCACTATTGACTTATCGACTAGCTTTCCGATGATCGATTTCGATCGACATGTCATGCCCTGAGCGATGCTGGTTATCAAAGCGTCTGTAAGCATGAGCATGACCATGCATGTCAAGATTATGAGGTGCTACAGGATGTAATTCAAGAAATCCAATGCTCTATTTCTGAGCACTCCTCTAAGATAAACGACAAAGGGAAAGAAGACAATCTTTGATGTGAAGCAGACATTGCGAAGATAAGGGTCAAGGAGTGGAAGGCACATATAATGCGGGCACAGAATCAAGAAGAAAGTAAGCAAAACATTTTTCTTTCTTTACAGGAGAACAAGGTCTTTATAATATTAGACTGGGCAATGAAGTTTACACAACCAAAGTTTCATGAAAAGCAGTTGGAAGGAATTGGAAGGAGGGGGATTGACTGGCACATAAGTTGTGTTATCAGCAGGAAAGACGACAGGCTGGAAGTCACCTCTTATGCTCACTTGTTTAACAGCTGTACTCAGGACTGGTTCTCAGTACTATCGATTATCGAAAATCTAATGTCTCTCATCATACAAAGCAACCTAGGTATCACATCACATCACATCAGATCAGATGACGCTGGCTGCTATCACAACAGCAGTCTCATAGCATCCTTAAGAGATATTGGAGATCGTCAAGGCATTGAGATCGTGAGGTGTCATCATTCTGAGCCCCAGTATGGGAAAGATTTCTGCGACAGAATATTTTGTGTCCGATGAAAGCCGCAATTAGACATTATTGCCATGAAGGCTACAATATCATTACCACGCATGATATGCAGATTGCCCTAGACAAAAGACCAGTTCAGGGAACAACAGCATCAGTTTTTTGTGTTAACGAAGAGAAAAAAAACATGAAAATGAAAAAGATCGCTAATTCTAGTTCTCAACACAATTCTACGTTTAATTCCGATGATCTTCGAGCGTGGAAAACTTACAATATCGGAGCTGGTAAACTGATTTCATGGGAGAGTATCAGACTTTGTCCCCAGGAAGCAACAAGCCTCATGGAGGAAACACTGTTCTTTCCAACCTCAACAAGAGAAATGAACAGAACAACCAATCAACAGAAAAAAGATGACGAGGATGAGGACTCAATTGAATGTCCAAATCCTCAATGCATGGAGGAATTCCACAGCCTCACCGAGCTGGAAGCTTATCTGAATGTTACAGGACATCACAGGCCAGCAGAGCAAGTGAGAAGCGGACTTTATAACACACTAGAAATTGATTAGGTACGGAACATTTCACTTGATGGTAAACGACAGACTGGTAACGAAAGATTCCTTCCAGAAAATACCAGAGTCATCTGTGCTGATTCTGTAACATTTTAGATATTGAAAAAATTGTGATATTTATATAACCCACAAACTTTTCATAAAATCAATGCTAAATTCACATTTCAATTATCTGTCATTTGATGTCTCAAAAATCTAAGAGGTGAACCGTACACACACTTAAATATACTTAAATCTTAATTATTTGAACGCACCCACTTTAGCTGTGTGTGCCACTGTTACAGTATGCGATGTTTTGATGGTGTTAACCTCTATTGAAGACAACGGACTTGCTGGAGTATTGCTTTCTTGAGGTGATGGCGACCAAATTTCCTTTCCCACTGCGCAAATGAATGTGCTTCCAGGATTAAATGCACTAAAAGTGTCTTTGTCACTTTCATTTCCATCTTCTCCAATATATATTTTTGCACTTTTATAAATATATATTTACACAAGTTTTCTTTTAGCTAGAGATTTTAATAAAATATCAAGAAGACAAATATATGAAAAGCACAACTAGCTTACATAAAGGTTATTAAAACTCGCACATGCTTGTTTTAAAAATATTAAACCTGTATGTTTGGAAACGATGAAATCTGACGAAATGGAATTTAGCTCACCTTTCAAAAAGTATTCATTGAAACAATTGGCAATACCAACTTTCTTTTTCGTGGTAAAACATCCCAAACTTTGTGCAACAGCATGATGAAAAATAAACATGCAACAGATCCAAGAAATGGAATACAAATTGCAGCAAGCTGTTCGTCCCAGATTTTGAAAACGATTTACTGACCAATGTCAACCAAATTGAAGCGTTTGTTTCCAAAACTAAACAATGTCCCCACCCAACGCACCCAAAAAATTGTCAAAATGGCACCATTCCCCGCGTTTTCACTTATCATTAGCTTTGAGTACATGCATGACAAGGATAATGAATATGCTTTAAATATGTACCTTTGAAGTAAGTCATGCCATGTCTCTTTAGGAACGTTTAATTTTCTTACAGTTACCTTTAAGATGGTCATTTTTGTGAAATGATATTTGTCAAGTAAGACTGTGAAAAAGGTGTGATCAAGCTACAATCGGCGACAAAATTGGTTCAGACACTTCCGGAAAAAAGACATCTCATGAGCATGGTTTTATTTGTTCTTATTTAAAAAGGTGTGAAATACCTTTCAATGGTACCCTCTCCCCACTCCCCCTAGTCAGTGTTGTACCGCTGGCCTTAGAGTTTGTGGGCACTCGAAGACGACCCAACAATGTGAAGGGGGGAGGGGTGGGGGGACCCTTTCTCAGGGTAGCTCAAAACACCTCTTTTTAGGAAAGTGTCTCAACAATTTTGTCGCCAATTGTCTGAACAACAAAATAGATGTTAGAGTGTCAGAAAAGGTTACAAGATGTGGTTTGTTGGCGATAATAAGTGCAAAGCATGCAGGTTATTAGTTTCTCACGCAATGTGAGGTAATGCAGGAATTAGAACATTGAGAATCGTAATTTTTTATTCCATTATGGTGATGTAATAGAGGCCTTGACTGTCAGGAGACGAGCAAAAAGGATGGTTTTCCGTAAAAAGATTCCCGATTAGACAAGAGCTTTTGTGCGATTTACCTCGAATTCCAAACGTTGATCAGTGATTGAAATATTAGAGAAAACACATATTTCCCAGGCTTCGCTATATCGCATTCGTCATAAAGACAGTTTCCAACAGAGACAGCCAAGGAATGAATGTCAATTAAAACGAAGAAAACCCGGTCGCCCTCGAAAATTAACAACACGCAAGGAACGCCTACTGTTGTGGGAAATTCCACGTCTAAGGAAAGAGGAAGGTCAGTTCACGGTTAAAAGACTTATGCTTCAAGCTGGAATAACAGCACTACAGGTCTCTAACCGAACTGTCCAGCGTTTTTTACGCAGGGAAGGTTTCCAGTATTTGCAAGCGTGTAAGAAAGGGGTCTTACTGGAAGGAGATCTCCTAAAAAGGAAACAATTTGCCGAAAAGATGAAAAAGGACTACGATCAGCATGTATGGCAAAACAGCATCTGTTTTTTTTGGATGGTGTCAGCTTTATCCATAAACATAATCCACTTGATCAAGCCTGGGCGCCCAAGGGATGTATTTGGAGAAAACAACGTGAAGGTCTCTCTTATGGGTGTACTGCTAAAGAAGCCCATTGTGGAAGGGGAAGGGTAGCTAAATTCATGGTAGCTGTTAGTTACGGAAAGGGCGTCATACTGTGTGAACATTACGAGACATTAAATGGGAGGTATTTTCAATCCTTGGTCGAACGTGAATTCCCAAGAATGTTCACTATAGCAGACAAAGAACGGCGCAGATTTTTCCTTCAGGATGGTGACCAAAGTCAAAACAGTGCTTTACCTCACGCAGCCTGGCGAGAAATGGGTGCAAAACTTTTATCTATCCCACCAAGGAGATCCGTTATGAACTGTATAGAAAATCTATTTCACATCGTTAAGCAATTGCTGGAACAAGATGCTATTAAGTATAACATAACGTTTGAAACTTATGAGCAATTTTCAGAATGGGTCGAAACAACTATTCGAAATCTGAACACTGTCATTATTAATAAAACGATCGAAAGTATGAATAACAGTATGGACTTGATCATTGAAAAGAAAGGACAGCATACTAAACATTAACTGTTTCAGTAACTGAAACGCGTACTGTAAATAACTAATCTCTGAACTTACAAACGTGGAACTTGTGGCTTGGAATAAAGTCACGTGAATTAATGTTGCATGACATGTAAGATGACTATAAATGCTGATGTGTTTACAACTTGTTTCATAGAAAATAAAACAATTAGCTGCTAACAGCGAGTACAACTGATAATTCCCTTTGGAAAACAGCCGCTCAAACCTTTCTTATGCCAGGTTTTGAGGATTTTTGACGAGAAACCATGAGTAACAGTGTAAATGACCAAAGAAAATTAATTACATTATCTTTTAGAACTGAGCTGGTTACTCGTGGCCAGTACCTCTCTTAACTTCATAAAAGCGGTATTTTTTAATCCCAAGAACATTCCGAGTCCCCAACAATAAGCTCAGTAAAGCATCGACCACAAGGTGGTAGTTCTTTTTGCGGGGAACTAGAAATTTGATAGTGAAAGGAATACGTTTTCCAGTGAACAGCCATCATGTCTGTTTCCAGCTCGTCTAATACACCACTGCGGGTGTAAACAAAGGAACCTTTTCCAGTGGCAAAGATCGGTGTGTCAGATTTGAATGTAAGATCTTTTCCATAGTGTGTTTTTGGAGCCGGTAGGTGAACTAACTGGCCCTCCAAAAATACCAAAAAGTCATGCCAGGGTATAATGGACGATGACCACCTGAAGTCATTAAGAAATATGTACTAAGCTTTCTCTGCGCCTACCCATGCAAAACTGCCAGAGACAGGGTTTGTGAAGGTATTATAAATCACATTTAAAGGATTCAAAAGAAATGTTTTGGCGCGGTTTGTAGGACCGATTAACATTATATTGCAATGTTTTCCTCTCCCTTTCTCTAACAAAGTGCGAACAGACTGTGCAACCCCGGACACTGAAATATCGTTGCGACTTAAAACTTCTTTAGCACACGTTACCCACTGACCATGACAATCAGGGACGCATTCCTGATGTAGAGAATCATAAAGCAACTGTAACTGGGACTTTTTTTGGCTTTGTAGAGTTTCTTGGGAATTCTCCATGTCCCATGCAGTTTGCAAAAATTCCGCCACGACTTTCGACCCACGATTCAAAACAAATTCGGCTATGTCTGTTTTGCCTTCAAGTTTTTGCTCTCTAGCAAAAGCAAGTAACTCGGTATACGATTTAATTTTTTAGCTACTACATTTTCGGCAAGTTCATAGGAAGACATTTGCTTTTTACGATTAGTTTTTGTGTTCTTTTTCTTCCTGTGATCTTGGCTGCTTTCTTCATTGCAATCCGAGGAGTCATCACGAACCGGTTCCGTGCCATCACTTCCGGTTGAATGTGGTTTATTGGCGAATGATGCCCTCGTAGTTTTAGGGGGCCCATCACTGAGATCCGGATGTCCAGGACTTTGAACAAACTCCTTGTCTTCCTTGGTCACATATTTCCAGGCACTGAAATAATTTCTGTGAATGGCTGAAAAGTGAACGGATATACCGCAGCTTTCGTAAAGAAACCTTTTGCTTGGTAGCCATCGCTGATTTCTGTCGAGTTTTTGGGCCATGTGAAAATGACTTCCGCAGGACTTAGGATGTTCTTCTAACCAGCAGGACCAGTGCATGATTTTCGCTGGCTACAAATGAATGTCGTGTTGGAAAGTGCACAACGTCAGCCTGGCTATAAGTAATCAGATAAACTTTCCACACACTTTGAACATTGATTTCATCGTTGGGATTAGCTGGTTTACTTGAATAGTCCAAATCAGCTCGACCAGCATTGTCAGTACCCTCTGAAGAAGATGAGTGAGATTCGTAATCCCTTATGAGATTCATGTCGTAATAACTCAGTGACACCATACAAGCAAGAAACATGACTCGATGAGTCCTGAGGAAAACAACCTCCTCACACGTGAGGTCGTCATCAAATTTCACGGCCCTCCCCTAAAGAAAGTGATTTTACTTGTTCCTGAAGACAACTTTTCACAAGCAGGATATATACCCTACCTGTTAAAAACCTCACACCGATACCGTAGTATCCACCAACTTTCCCGATTTATCCTGCTATAATAGGGGGTGTAGAGCCTTTTCCCGCTCAGACAATCGGCGACAAAATTAGTTGAGACACTTCTGGAAAAAAGACATCTCATGAGCATGGTTTTATTTGTTCTTATTTAAAAAGGTGTGAAATACCTTTCAATGGTACCTCCTCCCCACTCCCCCTATTCAGTGTTGTACCGCTGGCCTTAAGGTTTGTAGGCACTCAGAGACGACCCAACAATGTGAAGGGGGGAGGGGTGGGGGGACCCTTTCTCAGGGTAGCTCAAAACACCTTTTTAGGAAAGTGTCTCAACAATTTTGTCGCCAATTGTAGATCTGAAAAGAAACTGTATGAACCATATGAGCACAAATAAACCACACAACACGACAAAGATATTTAATTTTTGACAAAGTGTATTTAATTGTTTGTAGTCCTAGTGGGATCAAATCAGCAATCTTCTGTTTTAATATTTTCTGATCTCAAACTGTTTGCACTGCACATTCGCTGAGTTTGCTGTCTGACAAACTTGTAGCATGGATTAGCGACATTTGAAACGTTACTCGAATTCTTTCAACCCTAGGGTTTCCAGCCTGGGCAGAACAGTATCTATATTCAATTCTTGGAGCTTCATATCCTTTTTCATCATTGGTCAAATATTTGTACGGTGGGAATTTGCAAGGCCAATCAGAGTCATGAGTTTAGGTGCGCACAATGGAAAGAAGCTCTCTATATATCAACAATGCTTATTTCCCCTTATTTATGTTCTCATACAAAACTAGTGTACACAACTTGTGTCCAACAATGCTATCACTAACATCACAGGAAAATTACGTCATCTTTTTGAACCATGCTAAGATTTTCAGCTTCAGTTGGATTTCGTCTACTATGGTGGATGAATAATCTACACCTTTAATGTAAAACACTGCAAGTTCCACTAAGGTCGCCTTGTAATTTGCATAGTTCATTCACAATAAATGTGCAACTCGATTCTTTGAGGTGTTCCAAAACTTTAGCGATGATAATGTTTTTAAATTGTGACAATGGAATTGGCCAGGTATCAAACTTCACTTGCCAACCGTCAAAATGAGTGCAAAGAAGTTCCAACTATATCCACAGTGGCATTTCTAAAGCACAAAAGCGAAAGTTCTGATGGATTTGTATCATCCTGGCTTCCAGTCTTTATTGTTATCTTTCCGTCCATTTCAACATTACTCTTTCTTTGTTGCTTCTGATAGCACTCAGGTTGTAGGGATTGTACTTCTGGGCAGAGTGTTTGTTGAGAAACCTCATTTTCCTTTCATGTTTTCAACGATATCTTCTAATTTTAAAAGGGTGGTGCCATCTGGGACTAAAACCTGTTCAATTTTCCTGTTTAAAGGTTGTTCTGCTGTTTCTCTAGGCCTCAGGTATGAAATACCACTTCCAAATGGGTCAAGAAAAGTCTTTGTAGGATTGAAACTCATTAGCGAGGACTTTTACTCCTTTTTCAGGAGTTATCACCTGATGCGAGACTTGGATCATTTCCAATAAACCATCACGTTCTCGCTAAAATAATGCGTGCATTGTTCCTGTTTGTAGCGCCAAGACTCTAAGAGATGGACGTCCTGCTTCTACAGTGCCTTTGAAAAAATTGTGTGCACAATATGGATATAATGCCTTTTATGGTCTTGATTAGTGAGGGCTACACATGTTCCACAAAGTGCAAACATTGTAGTATCAGAGAAAGAGAATGGTGAGTCTCTTCCTATTTTTACAGTTTACAGTTGTGTAAGTAATGAAGCACGAATGTTTTGCCCATTTTGCTATTGAATTATCAGATTTGGGAGGTTTTGATCTTGGTGTCAGCAAAGTCAGTTTTAATTTAGCACAGTTTTGATAAGTTGAACTTTTTAATATGTAATGGTGAGTTGCGATTGGTTGCAATAATTTAATCCACTTTTCCATGCTTGAGGCTGTTTTTATCAGAAGTTTTAGAAGAAATGGTAAGTACTAAAGTTGACTGACTTTCAAAGGTTGGAGTTTTGTGTTGTTTGTAATCCGAAAAAGGTTCACATGTTCAAAGGTGGGGAATCAAATCTTACTTCTGTATTATTTCATTATTATCTGCAGCTGCTAAACAAGAGACTGTTCAGACGGGACACTGCAGCAGAAGTTTTAGATCCTGGTGTTCTGATGTGTCAACAACCACATCTTCTGATTCCCAGCCCGTACCTGAAGCTGCTGAACAACAGACTGCTCATACAGATATACTGTACCTGCAACTAATTGTATTATTATTATTATAATAGACTGTAGTATTAATAATGGCATGCAGTAATTTGATACCTGGAGTTTTGAAAATTGTAAAATCGAAGGAGACATGCCTTAAGTCATTGTTTGATGGGAATGTTCATTCTATCTCTTCACCAGTCAGGAAGAAAGGAGTTACACGAGAAGCATGTGCATGCTAGCTAAAAACCGTAGCGTGAACAGGGTGTGAGGAATGAAGGAGTTAGGGTCTTTCTTTAATCTTTAATCGTTTTTTATACACGGTAAAAAATTCATCAGGTACAATGAATTCTAATACAATGACTAACATCCTAAAACCTAAAAAAATCCTAATCCTAACATTATATCAAGTTACAACAATATGCCACTTAAAGAAAACCTGATTTTCATGAATGCTGTGTTTAAACATTATGATAGAGAAGGCGTTTAGTGTAGATGGGGATTCTATAACATGCGTTGGTTTATTTATGAGTTGTTTGAGCCCATATAAATCCAAAATCTCGGTAGGGTACCTTTGCATCACAGAAGGGCATGTAACTTCTTCCTTCCTGACCGGTGATGAGATAGAATTCCCATTTAACATAAGTATCGTTGACTTCTACCTCATCACCAGTCCTAGTCTCTGCTGAGCTACAAGAGATTTGAAAGACCTGAGCACGTGACGTACACTAGGCGCAAAAAAGGAAACAAAGCAATATCAAAACTAACATGAGACAAATGACAAATGTAAACAATGCTACTTGGGAATTGACTTAAGCCCAGTTTACACTACAGAAAATTTTTGGCACGGCTCAGGTGAAATTGGCATGGGTGCCAAACGAAGCTCAGCAAACTTCGTTTACACTACACCATTTTTACCATACCAAAAATACCATGCCAAAAATTTTGGACCTGTGTCAGTTCTCTTAGAAGCAAAGATGGACGACGAAGCCTTTGTGCTGTATCTCTTAAGAAAGACGTTTCACAAAAATTAAAGGTCAACTATGGACACTGAAGTTGGCAAAAACGTGCTGGCAAGAATCTTCTACCTTAAAAAAGAAATAAAATAAAGGAATCTTTTTGTTTCTTGCTTCAATGTTAACAAATCCACCCATCAATAGGAGCGTTTGGTCACTTCTTTCATAATTGTAAGTAATTTTTTTACGTTGCTTTCTTTCCAAGAACGTCCACGTGATTTTGGTGGAGGAAAGAGCAGACACCTTGAAATATAAGCAAGAGTGAATTAAGGCTCAAATTTAGCCCGCTAAAGTGTTTACACTACTTGTTCTATCCGAACTGTGCCGTTTTTTTCGGCACCTGTACCATTTTCACCTATGCTAGGAGTACTTCGTTGAAGGTCCCAGCACGGGTAAAAATTTTGGTTTAGCACGGATGAAATTTGGTACGGACTGGTTGTTTACACTGCAAATTCTATCTGAGCCAACCCCTTTTTTTGGGAACCACGCCATTTTCACTTGAGCTGTGCCAAACATTTTCTGTAGTGTAAACCGGGCTTTAGACTATGAGTAGTCCCTATTTTCCTCAGGCATAGTAGAACGAGCATAACACGTAAAAGTCACCACGTGAGAGAAAGGCAAGATTGACAGGAAGAGAGGAAAATGAGGGACGACAGACAAAGCCCAAGCTTTCGACCTTATGTGTTCTTAAAGCAGAACATAACCCTGATTGGCTCCTCCATGGCAATCAGACAACATCTGTCCAAAAACACTCGACACCAACTTTTCTGTCAATGGCTGATAAACTTAAGTCCATTACTTCTCCACTCAACAGCATTGTGGAAGAGCAGGCAAAAGAAATGAAGGGCCTTGGGATATCGCCTCACTTGAAACTTGGGAGTGAGGATTGTTTAAAAGATATATCGAACGAACATTTTCAAATGATTTTCGCTTCAGCTGAAGACTACTTATGCAAGAAGTTTACAGAGATCCAAAAGAAGGAGAACCCCACACAAAACATACCATCTCTTTGGTTGTCATTGACGAATGCCACACGGTTGAGACATTTTTTTTTTAATTCAAGACATTTATTACTCTAAGTATAAAGAAATAATTAAAAAGAAACTAATTACAAAAGTCCAATCAATTGTAAAAACAGAAGGAGAGGAAAAGGGAAAAGTATTACATACCTACAATTACCTACATTTCACAATAATACACATTCCAGCCAAGAAACAGCTGTGCAATTGCTGAAAAGTGGCTTATTTTACAAATAGTTAATTAATACTTAATTATGTAGATAAAAGAGAAATGTATTTATCATGGTATGCTGCTCTATTGCTTCATTATCGGTAGGCTATATATTTGAGTTGTTCTCATTTATATTCATTCACGTCTTACGACCGTCCCTACGCCCTCAAAATTATGTCTGATGTTGAAGACATTACTCCAGCGAACACAGATTTTCCTAGCAGCGATGATTTGTTGCCTTCGCTTCCTAAACAAACTTCTAGCTTGTCTCAATCTCTCGAAGCTTCAGTACCAATCCAGTCTTCAGAATCCAGTGATATAGCATCTGCGCTCTCTCTATGTAAGGATTGTTTTGACAAGAAGTTGAGCGCCATGGACCTTGATCGTGACTAATAAATATTCATGACCAAATTGGGACCAGAGAAAAATTCCGGTTAATCAAGATATCCGGATAATTGAGGTTCCACTGTAATGTGTCTTTCGTGGAGTCGGCTATCAATGAATTAGTCCACGTTCATGCCGTTGTTGAGGTGCCCTTTATTCCACATGTCGTTAATCCGCTCTCTATCTCGATACAGTCTTCAGGCAAGAAGAGACTTATTCTGAACTTACCTCATGTCAATCATTTCATTTGGAAACAGAATTTCAGGTGTGAAATTGGAGTTTTATTATTATATGTTAATTAGGGCGATTACCTTTTCAGTTTCGATCTCATGTCTTGATATCACCATATTGATATTTTTCCGGATCACCAAACTTTTCTGGGTTTCTCCTGGGTTTTTTCTGGTACCGTTCGGTCTTAGCTCAGCCCCATACGTCTTCACCAAGTGCCTTAGACCACTCGTTAAGTTTTGGAGGTCTAACGCGATTAAAATTGTTGTGCTACTCGATGATGGGTGCGGGAAAGGAGATTCACTGCCTATGGTCAAGGAAAATTCATTGTTTGTGCAATCATCCTTAAACAGCGCAGGGTTTGTTGCCAACTCCGCCAAATCACTATGGAACCCAACCCAGGTGCTTGTTTGGTTGGGTTTAAACTAGGACCTAGTTACCAGCACCAGAGTGACTTATATTCCTTACGATAAATTAAAATGTACAAATTCTAGAGGCTCTTGAGGGAACGATAACTGACCATAAGGTATGAAAGGTACTAATTGGAAAGGTCCCTAGGAAACGACAACTGTCCTAAACAGACATTTTACAGAAAACGGTGGTTCGGTTCCCTAATATAGTGTGATAATAAATCTGCAAATGTTTGTCAATACACAGCTCTCACATGAACTTCTGGCAAAAAGATGGCAAGCAATATAAAGAAAGTGCTGTGTATGTATACAGACACAATCGAAATTTTGGTTAGCTCAGAAAGAAAAAAATTCATGTTTGATGTTAAACACGAAAGAAAGGTGAAGAAATGGAAAAATTGTCAATCTAGTGAAAGAAAAAGGGACAGAAACTCCGAAAACAATCATTCTTGCAATACTTACAATGAGATTGCTGCAGTGCTTGTCTACCTACTGTGAATGTTAAGTGACCATGTATTTTGCACTGGGCCAGCCTAAGACACCAGCTAACAGAATGGTTGGCATTTACTACACAATGGCGTGGAAAAAAATACAAGGATGAGTGGTGGATTCATTCAAAACCAACACAGGAAATTAGAGAATTGTTCTTGCTTCTACTGGCCAAGGAATGGGTGTCAATTTTCCCGACATTAGGTTTGTTATACACCTGGGTCCAGCAAGGAGCATTGTGGATCATCTCCAACTAGCAGGAAGAGCAGGGCACGACGGGCAGCAGGCTTAACTACCTCTTGGTGTAGAAGCTGAAACAGTATCTCTTCCCCATATTTGTTGTTCAAATTGTGTAATGATCTAGATTCAAATGCCGAGGAACTTCCATTCACTGTAATTATGGACGTTTGTCAGCCTAAGACTGCAAGGACTGTGAGTAAGGAGGATGAAAGGGTTTTGGAGGAACCACTGAAAGAGTATCAAGAATGTCTTCATTTAGGGACAATAACTTTGTTAGGGACAATCCATGCTTTCACGAATCAGTTACTAAAAGACCTAATCAGAAATGCTCCAATTGTATACACCTTAGAAGATGTACTACAAAGTCTTCCAGTTTTGTCAACTGGACTAGCACGCTTTATTTTAGGTATCCTCCAAGATATCTTTGGAGACATTGAAAGTGATGAAGGATTGATAACTATGTTAGACAGTATTATGGCAAGTTCTACCAAAGTAACTAACGACAGAGCAACGTTTTACAAAATTTTTTGGACAATTCCCACTGTGACTTTGACAATCCCGAGCTTCCATCTGTATAAATCGGAAGCACAAGTCTAAATACAGATACCTAAGCTGTAACAGATACTGTAAAAATAATGAGAAAGCTATTAACACAAGTGTTTCTGCCCCAAACAGAATGTTATTTCCGTCTTTCAAGGTTTAAGAGAAAGGATTTGTGGTCCAGCTATTTATTATTTATCATTTCTGCACAAGACTTTCTTTTGTTACAAGGATTTGTAGTTAGTTAAAAAGTTACCGTTGGTCTCAAAATGACCTTAAATGCTGTTGTCATTGATTTAAGGGCAACTGAAAATACAACTTTAAATTATTGATTATTTAATGGCTGAGTCTGGCACAACTACATCTCATGGACCAATTAAGGCTTTGCTATTTAACTTAGAAAGAAAAAGAACAGCAACTCTAAAAGTAGCTTACTTTTCCACGCTCTATGGAAACCTCTCCTGTGCTTGCTATAAGTTTTAAAAATATACTAATCATGATTTTTTTTGTGTAAAGTTAGATTACCTTTCTTTTTGTTACTGTTGCTTGTAGTGTAATTTATTTATTTACTGTTTTGTTTTGTAGTACATTGCAATACTTTCCAATGCTTGCAATAACGTTTTTGAGGTAAAAAAGCCTAAATGCAGATAAGAAATAAAACTTTGTCACTGAATAGTTCTAGTAATTATGCAAAATGGTTTTCCATATACAAACTACAAGGGGAAAAGAAGCAGTCTCCAATATTGAATTTGTATTATTTAACCCTTTACCTACCAAGATCTGATTAGCAATTCTCGTTTCTAGCTGCTACTTTCCTTGTACATGAATTAAGAGAATTTGGGTTTTATCCTAATCCAGATATCAACCTGTGTGAAAAGTTGCTGTTTTTGTCACGTGTCGCTGGGTTAAGGTATGGATCTCCACATAGATTGCGGTCCGCTGAGTACACTTAAAGTCACAGATAATTTGTGGCACAACTGTCAATACATGAACAATATGTATCTTGTCAAATACATTCAAGTCAGGACCTGAGTATGAGCAATTCCCTGTTATGAATAAAAGACTTGATTATTAAAAAATATTTTTGAATGCTGAAGACAATGTGATGTTACTATTATCAATAATAATATTAATTTATTATTATGTGAAAATAAATGCTGCTCCTACAATATTGTATTTGAAAGTAGCTTAACATAATTTTACGTTGATCAACTTCATGGGAGTATTCAGTTTTGGTGTTCATATATTTTGCCCATTCATTTAATCTTGTTTTCATCCAGTTGCACTGACTTTTGAAAATGAAGTGTAACACTCTCTTCCAGGTTTAAAAACAAAAGCATTTCTGAAAGGAGATCTGCAACAATTTGTTTCATTGGTTAACTTGGATCAGTGCTAGATCTAGTTTTGTCCTTCTCTAAAATCGCTGTTGACACTTATAAAAATATCGTCGCTAATACCTCAAGACCTGGCAATTCACTGTGCTGACACCTCAAAGTTGGGGCCAAATAGATCACAATAACCATTAACAGAGTTGTTTCTGTGTTCAAGAAACAATTCCAGAGAAATATGTTTCCCTTGTTTTCTATGGTTCTTGCAAAACCTGCAGCAATTAGGCTTTTTGCTTTGTCTGCAGACCAGATAGCCATTTATAGAGGAGTTTCTTAAACTGAGAATAATAGTTATAGATTGTCTCTCTGATTGACAATTCATTCCAATTTTAAGAATTTGATGATCTTAAAACTGCAGTTATTTGCTAGGTGTGGAGTTTTATGTCATAGTTACAGTAGCAATGTAGGCTAAACAAATTCAGTAGTCCCTCTGTGGCTCCTGTGTTCCTTTCTCTGCTAACAGTCAAACATTTTTGCAGTTCAAACACTTGGTTTGTTCCAATTAATGTACACTAATATTGCACGTCAATGCTTGCCCGATAAACTAATCATAGAACATTTTATCCATACAACATGACTGTGTGCAATTTGAAAAGGGGAATTTTGAATTCAAAAGTAAAATCCATTACCAGATCACAATAGTCAGTCAGTGGATGCACGGGATATTTCACCTGTAACAAATCTGAGATCACATAAATATTGATGAGGGATATGGTGGACTACAATGTCCTTTAAAAAACTGAAAGCAAGTAAATACTACACTATTATTCTTGACACGAGAGTGAAGTCACTTTCAACAGCAAAGTTACTTTCTTCCCTGGTAGCAACTCGGATAACTCTAAATCTGTTAGCTTTCTTTCTTTGGCCTGTTGCTGCAGCATGATCTCTGCAAAGAGTTATGACCCTATCACAGATAGCAAGGTGCTGAGTCCAGTGAATTGACTGGTTTTATCAGTTTGCTGGTTTGGATCCTGGCAGAGGCTGAAATCCATGTTGTCAGTTACAATTAAAAAAAACGTAATAACCTGTCTTCAGTAGGAATGATAATTAAACATCTAAACCTGCAGCAAATTAGGCTGTTTCCAGATACATTCAACCACTGTAAAGTTTAACCAATATTAGTATGTGCTAAAACAGAGGATAGTGTTTTTTGCACGCTATGATTGACTACTCAATCAGTGAATATCCTGCACTATTCACTGATTTACCTCCAGTTCCTCTATTCCTATGTCTCATAAATGTTGACATGAAAAAATGGAAAGAACACGCACCAGTCATCTACACATTTCTGCTAACTTGCTGTTCATCAAAAAACAAATTGGTTTCCTAGCATTGCAATCACGGGTTCTCTAAAACAATGCAAGAGTCACATGAGTGCAAACGCCAGTGTTCCTGGAATTCTATTAAAATTGAATAAACAGAGGTAATATTTTTGCAGATCTTAAAATTAAGTCGTTGTTGAAAGAGAGGTTGAATCTCCCTATTTATATCATATTTCCCTCTCATGTTTACCATATCCACTACCAGTGTTCTGCCCCTTTACCTTGTTTTCTGTCCAATACAGAATATTGATATTACACTCTCTTTATTATTCATGTGCACCCAGTAGAGTGTAAATAACGCCCAAAACGAGTACAAGTTTCTCACGGTATTTGTACTCCAGAAGACCGGTTTGACTGGTTTTTCACAAATGTAATCTTGCATAAGCAGGTAAAAAATGGCTGCAAACGCTACTTTCCCCTCCGAAGAAAACAAGAGTCTGCCAAGTTCGCTGATACAAGCGACCATCAGGATGACAATGAAATTTTTTTGGTTTATTTACAAAAATCAAAATCGAAATTGTAACAAAATAGACATATTCTCACCTTAATGTATGGAAACGATAGTGCGCAGCCATAAAATAAACAAGGGCCATTGAAGAAAGTCCTCCCACGGAAATTGGAAACCTTGTGTCATTTCTTCATTAAAGCACGAAACCTAATGGAGAACAATTAGAGCCCGCAACACTAACATCTTTCTAAAGAAGTTTCAACCGCTACACGCAAGAAATTGGCAAAAGTAGTGGTGTCCTTCAAGACAAAGCATTTGAAAAGTCACGCAAAAGATCTCTCTAGTAAAACATTTCTGTTGTCACCTAGTTTTCCTGCACAAATGGTATCTCCTAGCATTGACTTCAGCGTTGAATATATATGGGTACATGGTTGGATTGTTTGACAATAAATTATAGTTCTTTCAGTGGGCAGACCATTCTTGTTTATCTCCTCAACCAACCATTCGAACTGATGACAAAGGCTTTTATCACGACGCATATATTCTACAACCTAAGAAACATTGGGCTTCTCTGGGCTTTCGTCAATTTTGTAAGGGTCTTTCATACCAAGGACGTCCAAGATTGCTTGTTTTGTTTCTCTAGCTGCAGTTGCTGTTAAAGATAGTATGATTGCACTTGGAATAAATGATCTAAGCTCGTGCATGCGACCATAACATTTCATAAAAGGTGCCAATTTGGAGGAAGTAGAAGTTCCCCTACAATAAATACATGAAGCGAACATTACGAGAAAAATTCCCCTTCTCGACAAGAAAAGTTCGAAGTACAGTTTGCCGAATTGGGAAGGAACAAGGTTGTATTTGGCTCAAAGGACAGTGCTTTACAAGTCAAGAAAAAATTAGAGGAAGCATATCCCAAGCATAAAAATGGAGGTGGTTTCGAAATTCTTCGCAGTGGTTATTCCTCGGGAAAATCTTTAGTTGTTCTTAGGCCACCAGTGTCTGTTGGTCACTTAATAAAATTTCTGAGAGATAGATCAGGTTTGGGGGCAAGCATTGGCTTACATTCGCCCACTACAAAATCTTTAGATGTCAAGCTGAAGAGGTAAGTCTTTCAGATGTGATTGCAAATTAAAGCAAGAACGGTATAGATTTTTCCCTGATGTGAACCTGCAACCACACGATCAACTTGCTAACGTAAAATAAGTTGCATCATTTGTGATAAGTTTTAAATGGCATTTAATTGTCTAACTTTATATTTGTTATTTTGGATTAGTACATTACCTTTATGTAAGTGTGAAGGTTTTTTAAATAGCATTTTGTAGAGTTACTTACCCCATACGTACATCGCAATACATTTAATCAACATTTTGTCATTTTTATAGTCAAGCGTACATTCATAGCTCTTGTTTAAAAGTAAGGAAAAGCCTTGGTGTGTATGTGCATGAACGTCGTACATAGTATTCTCATGGTAAATTGTTTTAATAGGAAGAAAGGAGCTGTGATGAGCTATTCACTGAATTGCCACAAGTAGAATGCATTAATTGCAAACCCATGTTGCTAGTAACATTAGTGTGGCGGCACTTGGTTGAGTGCAGGTCAAGAAACATAACAGAGGCATCTACATGTAAGGAGGTCAATATATGTTTATTTATTTCAATAAACATGTATTTTCATAGATTTTTTGATTTTCTGGAGTCGATTTGTTACTGGTCCCAAGGGGACCATCGGCCAAAGTCCCGGATTTGGAAGAACATAATTGGAAAGTGAATAATAGAACTGGAAACTGAATGAAACGATTCATAACGACATAATAGAACTGGTAAAGTGAATGACAAAATGTGAAAGAAAATAATAGGATTCAAAACTGCATGAGAGGACTGTGCAATCGAATTATAGAATTAGAAAACTGCATAGAAGAATTCAAAAGCCAATAACAGAATTCGAAACCCAATCAAAGAATGCAGAAAAGTGAATAAGAGAATTTGAAAGGGAAATACCCCCCCGGTAGTAAAGTTAGAAACTGCGTAAAAGAATTCCTAAGAAAACTGAACAACAGCACAGGAGAACGGCATAACAAAATTTCAAAGGTAATATTGGCAGAAATCATCCCACATAGAACAACAGCAAATATTCTAGAAAGATGTCCCTTGAAGTACCAACTGGTTGGAGGCCTGGCTGCTCTTGATCCAAGACATATGATCCTTTATGAAATTCGAGGGAATGTTAGCCTTACTGCTAGTGTACCGCCCATTCAAGGCAGATGAAAGTGATGCAGCCCAGTTCTTGTGACTGCAATTCACAAGTATCACTTAGACAAATTTGAGGTATAAACCACTTGTCAGAGGCTGGACAAATTCTTCTTCAATGTCGTTGCTGAAAAGCCTCACTTCAAAGTCCTGTGGAAGGTTGTGAAATGGGTTTTAATGTTGTTGCATGGCCAAGCTAGTATTAAACGTGGTTTCTCAGAGAACAAAGACATTCTTTCCTATAACATGGGAGAGCATACTCTGAAGGCATTTAGAATTCCTGACATCCCAGTCAGCAAGGAATGGGTCAAGTCCTGCAAGCAATCACGCCAGATGTATTCTGCCTTTTTGAAGGATCACAAAAAAACAAAAAAGAATGTGAAACAAAGTAATAGGTAAAAATTGCTTTCTGAATTGAAGTGATGTCAGAAGAAGGAGATAAGGATAGAGTCAGAGGTATCAGCATTGTTATGACAAACAAGGCAGATAATCTCTGTTCAGAAACTGAAAAAAGTCAGAAGTGGAATCTGGCCATTGTAGCAGATGCGTTTAGAGCTTAAGGAGGAAAAAAGAAAAGAAAGGAAGTGGATGAGACTAAGAAGGAGGCTGAAGTGAGGAAAAAAGCTGAATTTGGAGTAAATATGAACTCATTCATGGTGTCTTGGCCTCTTCGTTATGTCGCTCAAAGATGATAACAGTTAAACTTTTGTGTTGATGTTACTCTTGTATGTTCTTTAGTACAGTTGCTAGATTCCTGATAAGCATATTGTTAACTGTTGTAATGCAAGCTGGAATTGGTTTGAAAATGAAATCATAAACCTCGAATTCTATTTTCATTATTTTCTGGTGCTTTCAATTCTCTTTCCTTTCGGACATGAAATGTGTTGGACTGGAAGAAATTAAACGACAAGCCGATGTTGGGTTTCCAAGAAAATCAATCATTTTTCCATGTTATATTAAGAAACTACCAATATTCATGCACACTACATGTGAATCTGAAAAGATAAATAAATTGGTGGAGAGGGTGGCTGTGAGGGGAGGTTTGAGGCCATTACCGGGACTAATTTGTGAAGTCTTTTAATTTAGTTGGTAAGGGAAATTTTACATTTGTCAGGGAAAGTTTTTTAATTGTTTAGACAAAGAGCAGACGGCAATCGAATAGTATCCCATGATGCACCTCGTTTCATGTTATATTATCACTGCGTATGTGACATCATGATCACTATTCTTCAGCACGTGCGTAATGAACATCACAGTGCGTGATGTGTATGGTTTCCAAATATGTTTCTGTTCAACAGCTTCTGCTTTTGAGAATATCGAGTTAGCTTACATTCATTGTGCTTTAAAGGAGAATTTCAGCTTTACTTTGAAGAGTTACATGTGTTTCACTGATTTGTCGAGAACTACTTGTGCGCTCGGTCGCAACTACAAACACAAAGTATGAGACTTGGCAACTGACAAGGTTCACTAGGAGAACCAAAACCATGACTGATCTAAAAAGTGGCTCCAAGAAAACAGCCGCTACGCTGTGAAGGTAATTGCTAAAGGAGGATTTATTTCAGCATCACCTTAAACGAGCTCAATTTACAACTGCAGTTACAAATAAAATTTAACCTATTGATGTGACAAACAATCCTCTGAAGCACAATTTACCCAGTACCGACTTAAGAAATCTTCAAGGAAATTTCCTGGCCAGAATACTGACCTGTTCTTTTGAATAAAGTGTCTGATATATTATTTTTTTCAATTTCTGAGCAGGCTTGTTTAGGGTTGTGCCGCTTGCATGCTGCGTGGCACCTTTGTTTGGGTTCCTAATCACACTGAAACAAACGGCATTATTCACTGCTCCTTGTTCTAATTAAAATAATTATAGCCAAATTCCTTTTAAAAGTAACCACTTTGAAAATACAAAGCGATTGCTTTGGTATAAAGCGCTCTCGAAAGCGCCCAACAGATTGTAGCCTTCAGCAGGCTTTACACATATATTATCACATGGCGTTGAAATGTGATAAAAGATACGAAATTTCAGCCATTTTTGCTCGATAAAAAAGTCTTCAAAATGTGGGTACTTCTGGGTACTTCTTAGTCTGTGCAATATTCAGGACTTCATTTTGCTGGCGTGAGGTCCACATTTGGAAGACTTCAACATATAATCCAAAAAATCGTGAACGTTCATGACCTTGTTGTGGGTCACTGAACACTTTGTGATGTGAAGATTAAGTGAAACAATGGAAATAAATGTTTCTATGTGGAAACTTCGCTCTTAAGCCATTGCATATTGGAGAAATCATGTTAAATAACAAAATAATGCAATTTTCTTACTTTTACTGGAACACAAATGAGAAAAAAGCCAACAAGAAAAAGACCTTATTCCACCATGGAATCTGCCATGACTGCGATAATGCATGATGCTTCTGGAAAAATGCATCATGTGACACTATTTGTTCATTGTCTGGACAAAGAGCAATGTTTTTTTTGAGGATTTGCTGCCGTATGTAACGGTCATGACTTTGGACAGAGATGCATAAAAGCTGCTATCGTTTTGGTCGTGTGCTACACCAGGGCTTATTAACAACAAGCACATTGATTTTTGACAGACAACTAAAATCTTGCTTCTGAGAAATTTTATTGCCACACAACTAACATGCCAGCTACTCAGCAAATATTTTGTCAAATGAAAATATCACACAGTTTACTTCAAATGAGGCAATACACTATAAAATAAAGATTATCATATGCAAAATGTAATGCATGTTTTACAAAATGAATTAATGAATGTGGCGAATAAAACGTGGAGACTGGAATTATAACCCAGATTAGTTTCTCGGACTGAAAAATATTCATGACACTTCTGGTGTATCTTTTAAACCACCTTATTTGTGAAATGATAAGTACATATGTTTTTATTCTCACCTCTTGTTCAGGGTTTATTTTGTTTTCTATACTTGAGCATTCTGTACCTAGAATGTCACGCTGTAATGGCCTGATGTAAACAACAGAAGCATTTGCAATTAACTTACAGTGTCATCTACAAATCCCCAGCAATTTGGAAGTGCAGCACCCTTCGCATAAACAGCATCAGCCACTTCCCTAAGTCCCTGTCGCGTCAGCCAGGGGTGGTGAAGGGGGTCAAGGGTAGTCAGCAGATGCCCATGCTGTTCATAAATCTCATCCATTACCTTGTTGGCTATCAGACTGAGCTCCTGTGGAGACCTCCCAAACTGAGTTATCATGCCTGGATAACAGCATGGATAAGCCAAATGTTGCAAGAGAATACACAGCCCTTTCTCTGTATAGGCTGCTGTTTGATTTTCGCACACAATTTTTTCCGGTAGCTGCAAAATACGACCAAGGTAGGGAATGACCTTGTCGCTAAAATGAAAGCGGCTGAAGCACTCTTCCTCGGAAACTTCATTCGGGTCGAATCCTCGATACTTTCCATGCTCAAATACAGGATAATCTGTGCTGTTTACATTATATAAAGCACAAAATTCTTCTTAGTCCAAAAAACCTTCCATGTAACTGAGTAACAAGCAGTCTTGAACGTTTTTTAGAGTCATTTTTGTTTTCGAAATTGTTGTGGAAGTGCTACCTCGACTCAAATTTGGCGCCCAGTCATGTGTAATCCCATAATTTTATTTTCTATAAACTCGAACTCGGTGTCATCGCTAGCATAGAAAGCTGAGAAAACGACTTTGAGTACGATTACGGCTTGAAGTCGTTCTTGTACTTGTACTCATTGTTGATGCTAACATCCTCTATTATCTGGACAATTTCCACACCCTGGGTCTTCCTAATTCTGGGACGTGCCAACTGAACCAAGACACTTGTATCCAGCAATTCCAGGATTGGGCCATTCCCCTTCACCCTGACAAGTTACAGGGTCCTTCCACTCTCCTGACTGTTTTAGGCACAGAACTCGACTCTCTCCTATTGCAGGCGCACCTCCTGCAAGAAACATTTGGTCCTATCCAAAAACGCCATTGCACACGGAAGGAGCTGGAGTATTTATTGGCAATCTTCAACATGCATGCAAAGTCGTCCCTTCTAAGCGCACCTTCTTCCGCCGTATGATCAATCTGCTCTCAGCTTTTTGCAGAGAGGAGTTTCCCATAAGGCTTAATAGAGAATTTCATTTGGATTTGTCGCGGTGGCTCAAATTCCTCCAGTCATCGCACGGGTACAGTTTTCTGTTGTCCCCTTGCTAGGCTCCCATTCCAGATCTTCATGTCTCTTCTGAGGCTGCTGGCTCTGTTGGATATGGGGCTATCTTAGGTAGAGACTGGTTCGCAGGGAGATGGTCTCCATTACAGATGCCCCAGCAGTCCTTTGTGTTTACCGGTCATCACGTTCCTGGAAAATCAAATGCCATAGCTGATGCCACTTCTCATTTTGAATTTCAGCGGTTCCATCAGCTAGCTCCTTATGCGTCTCCTACAGCAACGCCAGTACTTCCTTTAATCTGGGCCCAGCTGTCTGTAGTTTACACCAAAAGTGCCAATTCTATTTCTCCAATGGTCTGGCTCCCTCAGCCCGATGGGTGTATCGTTCAGCGCAGCATCAGTTCATCAATTTCTGTACTTTAGATGGCTATGTCAGTTCAAATGTTTCTTTACTGCCCACTAATGAACAAACCTTGCTGAGTTTTTGTTCCCACCTAGCAGATCGTTTACATCACTCCTCAATAAAGGTTTATATCCTGGCGATACGGTTCTTGCACATCAATCAGGGTTTTCCCGATCCCTTAGTGAACTGCCTCTGACTTCAGTGTCTTCTCTGGGGCATTAAGCGCCACCAAGGCTCTACTCTTCCACAGCACCAGCCAGTGACAGCCAACCTCGTGCAGATTATCCAGTGTTCCTTAGATACCCACAACTCGGAGCACGTCATGCTGTGGGCTGCCTGTTGCCCAGGTTTCTTTGGATTCCTAAGGCGTGGGGAGTTAACGGTCAACTCTGGGACAAAGGGCATTTTATTTTCAGGGTCCAAGGGAATGGAATGGGTTACCTGACAATATTAAGAACACTAAAGATATTGATAGTTTTAAGCGGAGACTTTTTAATAAGATACTTCATACTAAATAATTTTGAATGTATTTTGAATTTAATTGAACTACTGTAAATTAGTTTTCTTTTCTTTTCTTAATGACCAGTATTATGTAATAAGTAACATTGTGACTGAAAAGCCCTTTTGAAGGGAGTCTCAATAGAGTATGTATGTATGTATGTAACTCTACCTTTGACCCATCCATCCATTTAACCATTCAGGACCTACAAGTGATGCCGAGGTTAATCCTTCCAGCCTTTGTGTTTGCATCAAAAGCTCTAAAACTGACCCGTCTCGACAGGGATGTTTCATATATTTGGGATGAGGTCAGGCCCGTTTCTGTCCAATTTTGGCCATCGTGGCATATTTACATCGTCGACGGCCTTCGTCGGGTCCCCCGTTCATTGACACCCATGGTCAGCCTTTAACTCTTTCTCGTCTGTCTTCCTTTGTCCAGTCTGTGTTACAAGGGGCGGGAATCCCTGGGCAGTTTTCAAGCCATAGAAGAGAGACTGATCCATCTGGATCTGATACCACCTACCTATGACCTCGAGGGCAAGGATTTAGTATTTCTTTATAAGGCCTTATATGGCTATATTGATATTGATATTAGTTTTATTAAGACTGTTAGTCAGGGCCATACTCGACGACCTCAATCAAGTGATTTAAAGTATATCAGCTACCTATCAGTCCTCCTTTTAAAATTGCAGTATTAAATTATGGATCCAAAAATCTAAATTAATTCAGCCCAGTGACTTTCTAAACATAAAGACCTTTAAGAATAGTATAACTAACTTGTACAAAAATAAATAAACAAATGTCTTTGACCTCGATAAACCATGTTCATGGGGTCTTGCATGTAATTGTGGGTGCCACTGGCAACAATAGTTTCATAAGCATTTCTTAAGATTTTTACTTGGGAGGTGCCCTGCATGGGACTCCAGGTCCCGTTTCCACCGTACCTTTTGGCCTTTTTTTTTCTTTTTGTTGTTACTGTAACCATTTATTTTAGAGAGACACAGACCAGTAAAGTTGATAAAACAAAACAAAACAAACAGTTTTTGCATTGGGGCTGCTACGACAGCATCGCAATGCGGCATTCCAGATCACCTTATCAAGACCATCGGCAGGTGGACCAGTGATGCGTATCAACTCTACGTTAGAACCCCAGTGGAATCAATTTTGGGAATTTCTGGAAGGCTGCTTCAGTAACAGGTACCTCATCACGGGTGCTAGCATGCACGTACGTTCAGGTCATTGCAGTCAAGGATCAGAAACAAATCTGAACCTTCAGTTGGTGAATGAACCATCCTGGATCAATCCACATGATGTTTTACAGTCGTGATTGATTAGTAAGCCCTTTAAACAGTTCATTATTCATTAGTAAGGATTATTAGGGGTGGAAAGGCGGGGCTAACAAGAGAGGAGGTGCTTATTAACTTTCTTAACTTAGTGTTGCGATCGCCTGCTTCATCTTGCGTGTTTCAAGGTTTTTATTGAATTTTCACTTTTTTCCCTTTTAATTAAAATAATACATAGATTTAGCCAGGGCTAAAAGTGAAGCTTTCGATAATATTTATAGTTTGTTCACACGAAGGCAACAAAGGAGAACAGTGAAAAACAACAATAGGTCTAATTAGCGAAAAAAGCAACTTTGCACATGCAGCACACTTTTTTGTACATTTCTTTGTCGTTGTTTTGCATGACTACAACATGAAACTTCCAGAAACTTCTTAGTTACACGTTTTATGGAGGAAATGTCGTACGAGTTCTCGTTCACTTTTTTTTTCACTGCCGCTCATTTTCACCTTGCATTGGTGGCTGCTAACATTTCCCATTTTGGCACCACCGCTACAAAATTTTCCTGTTGTTCTTCCACAAAAAAATGTCCCTGTTTTTTATCTCTCGCTCTAGACTTCTGTCGCCTTTTTCTCGTTAAGCTTCACTGGCCTGCTGCCTACCTTATCTTTTTCTCTGCCTTTCTCCTGCTCTATATTCCAAATTTGTGGACATAACAGTTATCTAAGCTAAGTACTTCAGACAACACGGATACAATTCAAATTCCCCTTTCCGTTTTCATCTTTGTTGACTCTTTAGTTGTCTCTGCTTTACAAGATGCCGGTGGCTATGCAATTTCCCGCCAAAATAACCTCGAGTTGCATTTGGGTTGCCATACCTGTTGATTGAGTTATTTTACTTTGGTATATCTGTGATGCGGAGGGACACTTGGTGTACCGTCAAATGATTACCAAATTTTCTCGGATGGGTAGATTACTTCATTTTCTTACCCATGGTGCTCCGCTGACACGCTTCGCGCATGAGAGCTCTGCTATTAATACTTGTCCAAGTGCTCTTTATATTGTTTGAGTTGAGTATAAAATAATCATAGTACTATGGCATCTTACTTACTCGAGATAAAGTTAGGATTTTATTCTTATAAATTTTCTACTTTATTTTATCAATGGAGGAGAAAAGTTTGTTACCTTTCTTGACTGAAATCCTAAGACATATTATTCAGGGTTGTTGAGTTTCACGTTTAGAAATCGTTTGGAGTGGTGCATGTTTATTACAAACCAGTTTAGT